CAGGGGTGGTGGTCACTTGTTAAGTTTTCATAGATTGAGGAGTAGAGAACAGGCAGTTCAAACATCAGTGAAACTAAAAAGTACATTTATTGTTACTTTGCACAGTGTGCGAAATTTACACTGGTCCTGTGGTCTCTGGTTAGTAAAAATTCATATGGACCACAAAATGATAAGTTTGCAGTGGTCCTGGTGGCTAGTGAATTTTGTATTGATAGTTAAGTAAATCTACAAATTTTATTTTGGACCAGTGAAGTACAGCCAGGACCACTAATTATTGTCCACTCACTGGTCCTGCGGGAAATGGGAAATTTTCAAAGGTTTCTTTCCCTGTTTGCCGTTATATATACTCTTTCCACACTGCTGTGCTAATGTAAAAAGATGTTTAATATCTGATTGTCACGCAACAATACAGATAGTCATATCAATATTTGGGCTTAGTAGCAGGTGTGTATAGTTCAGCTGTGAAATTCAGCATAATCAATTGAGCCAAGTAAGAGTAACTACTAGAAATTTGTATTCTAAGGGTTTAAAAACCTTTCATGTACTTGCTACCCTTTATGAATATTCTCTTATCGATATTAGCTTCAGTATCATATGTCGGTATATCTAAAATACCATAAATACCGCCTGAGACGAACTTTGAGGATATCGTGTATAAACTTTGGTACGTTAGCTATCATGTTGTATCTGGCAATAAATGTTCACCCTTGTTAGACAGATGCACATTAGTTCAAGAATTTGTCAATCAGTTGGTTTGCCTTAATGGTCACTTGAGTGAGTTTAGTTTTATGCCACTTTTAGCAATATTCCAGCTATATCACAGCGGGGGACACCAGAAATGGGCTTCACACAATGGTCACTTGAGAGCCACATTTGTTTTCAAAACTGGAGGTTGTTGATTGGTATTAGATTTGTGAAATGTTAAAGTTAATTGGTATGATTGGTATCATGAAGAAAATATTTGGCTGAATTGAGGGGTAATGAATGATTTGGAAATTACAAGTCAAATGTGTGAAATATTCAGTTTCTTTCATTATGGAAATAGATACCTAACTCCACCATGTCAATAAGAAGGGGAAAAAACTGTTCGCTAGATTTCAGTTTTGTCAGCAACTTTTTAAAAATCTGTTTGAATAATAGAACTTTTTAACTTTTGTTTGAATCAAATCACATTCTTATTTTACATATATGACATGAGATTTGTATTGAGTGGCTGTGAGAAGAGTGAACAGCTACAGAAGCCCCCTGCCTGCCTCATCCCTCCTTCCCTCGGCTCTACTGTTATCAGCCCACAGAGTGATGAGGAGGAGAGGTGGTGTTACCTTCACATTAAATGCTCAGCGCTACACCTACGTGTGCCTGTTACCTAAATTTAGCTCACAGGGAATTGGCGCTCTATTTTTTCTTGCATTCCAGACTTTGGCTAAGAAAAGCACAGGTTGTTTATCTGCTTGTTTATAGAGTGCATCTGAACGTTCTCTTGTTGGAATAATGTGACGGAAAGTTGAACAGTTTCATATCACTTGAAGGGAATAGCTTAAATCAGTCATTTATCTTTGATGCATTTTCATGATAAGTCAGTTAATGTGTTGTGTTATGATCCTGGTCAAACTCAGATGAAGATGACCTTAAAGTACTCAGTAGATTTAAGCTTAAGGGTACTAGGAAACCACTTGTTAGTACCAGAATGACATGAATCTCAGGAATAACACGTTTTCTGTGAGATCTCCTTGACGAGGGAGAGGTCTTCTTGATCCACAGCCCCCATAACCAGGCACAGCCGAGACGGTGTAATTGATAAGTGACTGATTGGGGTAATCATTTATCAGTGCTTATTGCCAGAATGATGAATGTAATAAATTGAGTGAACAGACAAGTAAAGTGGCCTTTAACCTTGTTGAATGTCGAGGACTGGAACCTCTCATGAGTCAATTTACTATGCTGTTCCTCTTTCATTAAAGGCCTACGTTATCATGACCATTTTTCTGTTGTGCTGTTCATCTCCGTGAACAATTTTAAGTTTCTTTTGCCAAATGTAATGAATAGAAACTGACTTTATATTGTAAAACCAGCTATAAATAATTTTCACACAACTTTAGCACTTCTCGGGATTCTTACCACATGTCAGTGCACAGGGGTCTCCACTTATCAGTTCAGGCTGATTGGTGGTTCCAGCCATGGGTGCATACCGTACAATGGCTGTTGCCTCAAATCATGGGCCTATCATCTGGCTGAGCAAGTGTTTCAGCTTGTTAGAGGTGTTGGCTACATAAACATTACATAGTCGGAGACAGGGGAGGAATAAGTAAATATTTAACATTTCATAAGCAGATAAGAGACTTTTATCGCATCTTCATCTGATGTTAAAAACCAAAGGGTTATTGTGGTGCAATACCAAAGTATTTAAGCAGTAAATTGGTGGAGTGTGTTGTACTGTAAGATTTTATAATTACTGTAATTACAGGACTTTTATATTTCTTGTTAAGTATTGGTACAATGAATATTATTGTGTATCCCTAGGGATGCAGTATTGTTTTTTAGCATCCATTCTCTCCATTCTGCATCATGGTAAACTCCAACTCCAGTCTTTTTTTAGCCTGAAACGTGACCGCAGTGACTTGTACCACAAGGACTTCTAGTGTAGGCGAATAGCTAGAGGGTTTAGAAGGCCTGTGTTGTCATTGTCCTCTAGACCTCTTGCATGTTGCTGTGACCACTCCAGAGACTGGCAGAGAGCTCTAGGGTGGAGGCTAGTAATGAGACTGTCAGGTCTACATAGGATGTCCATGTTTCTACTTGACCTCACGCTCTTGAGGAAACATTACAAGGATCTGTGTGGGTTGTTAATGGTCATACTGTTTGACGTGTTCAGACCGGGCTGAAAGAGAATGAGGAAAATAATTGGTTTGGTTACATCGTGAATGGAAGCTTTTATACATGAAACATGATGAACCATCTGATCATTCTGAGAGCAATCCGGGTAATACTTAAGTGACTAAATACATGGTAAACATCAGTAGGTGCGATGAGTTACAGTAACATTGTGTGAGTACATGATGTATCAGTAATATTATCATGGTTATCATTAGGGGTGAAACAATACAGCAAGGTTACACTATAATACATACCTGATTAACACGATACATAGGTCATGATGTGATACATATTACGATACATAGGTCATGATGTGATACATATCACAATACATAGGTCATGATGTGATACTTATCATGATACATAGGTCACACTGTGATACATATCATGATTCGTAGGTCATGATGTGATACATATCACGATACATAGGTCATGATGTGATACATATCACGATACGTAGGTCATGATGTGATACTTATGATACATAGGTCACACTGTGATACATATCATGATTCGTAGGTCATGATGTGATACATATACACGATACATAGGTCATGATGTGATACATATCACGATACATAGGTCATGATGTGATACATATTACGATACATAGGTCATGATGTGATACATATCACGATACATAGGTCATGATGTGATACATATCCCACGATACATAGGTCATGATGTGATACATATCACAATACATAGGTCATGATGTGATACATATACATATCATGATACATAAGTCATGATGTGATACATATCATGATACATAGGTCATGATGTGATACATATCACGATACAAAGGTCATGATGTGATACATATCACGATACATACGTCATGATGTGATACATACTACGATACATAGGTCATGATGTGATACATATCACGATACGTAGGTCATGATGTGATACATATCACGATACATAGGTCATGATGTGATACATATACATATCATGATACATAGGTCATGATGTGATACATACCATGATACATAGGTCATGATGTGATACATATCACGATACATACGTCATGATGTGATACATACCACGATACATAGGTTACAATATGATGTGTATCACGATACTCATATTTTTGTCAGTTTGTGTGGAAAGCTCATGGCTAGAAGTTGAAGTACTAAAACTATCTCAGAGTGGGATCAACACTGAAACCTGGCTGAAAAAAACATGTTTGTAGTGATTATTAGAAGGAGGCAACTTGAAAAGCTGTCATGCCAACACATGTTTCCATGTGTGACTGATAAAAATACTGAAGGGTCATTTACACAGGAACAATTATTTTTATGAACACGTCGTCGAAACAGAAAAAAGACATATCATGTATCATTGTCACGTGAAAATTCATTATGCACTGGTGCACCGAATTGTGGTTTCAATCGCAGTGGTCTCTCCATATCCTGGTATTTATCCAGGCGAGGACCCACCTGTTTTAAGCGTTTTCAGTGGTTGTGTCTCACTTTATCTAATCTGTGCTGTGTAAGAAATCACAGGATTAAATTCTGTGGACTTGGGTCATTGTCATTGTATGGGTAAATGTGTGTTGGGCTTTCTTGAGTTTGGGACATGTTGGTTATAAATTTGTTGTAGTTGGTTTCAGATATATGTATATGTCAGGGTAGAGACTGCGATCTGGTAGAATTGGAGATTCTACCAGTAGAGATTGCGATCAGAGTCTCTACCGGTACATTTTCCAATTCAACTAGTAGAAACTCTGATCCTACTAGTAGTAGAGGCTGCAATCATCTTCAACTGGTAGAAACTCCGAGTGATCTGTGGGTAAACAACAAAGACACTTTTTCTGAACAGTACTATACATTTTATTCAGATATAACACTAGACTGTTTCCACTGAAGTCTTGGGGTGATTCTCTACATGCTAGTTTCTGGCTGTTCAGGACATGTTGGTTATAAGTTTGTTGTTGTTGGTTTCAGATGTATGGAGTCTTGGGGTGATTCTCTACATGCTAGTTTGTGGCTGTTCAGGACATGTTGGTTATAAGTTTGTTGTTGTTGGTTTCAGATGTATGGAGTCTTGGGGTGATTCTCTTCATGCTAGTTTGTGGCTGTTCAGGACATGTTGGATAAGTTTGTTGTTGTTGGTTTCAGATGTATGGAGTCTTGGGGTGATTCTCTACATGCTAGTTTGTGGCTGTGCCCCCTTCCAAGAAGCCAATGACAGCGAAACACTGACCATGATCATGGACTGCAAGTTCAACATCCCCGACCACATCTCTAGCAACTGCAGGGAGTAAGTGGAGGTTACACTACTAAAGTATTACTGCACAGACCCTAGAATGTCAGTGTTTCTCAAATACAGTTAAGAGATTTAATCAGTAGAGGACGTAACGTGTACGCGAGACGGTCGCCCGCTACGCGTACAAGTGACTACCTGAGAGGGGGTCACGCATTCGCGTGACTGCCTGATCACAGACAGGGAAGTTCTGCATGTCACACAAAAACGCGTCTAAAAGTGTTATTTATGAAAATAATGAAACAAAATTTGCTACAGTCATTAATAGGTGTTCAAGTTATTGATTGACATGAATGAAAACGTGTAAAGAAAACATTAGATAGTCAAATTTTGACAAAAATGTGCAAAATTTAGGCAAAATTTGACAATATTGAACAGCGAATTTCACCTATGTGCATATTTTTCAGAAACTTACATTTAGTATTTTCTGAAAGCTCATTCATCGCAGATTCAAAATATATATGCAGCTTTGAGGCACACCAACGCACACCGTTTGTTATTGTGTTGAAACATGTTTACTTTCTTAAAAACTGCGCCGAACCGTCTCGTAGAAGTGACTGGGAAAGCGAGTCATTAAGGGGAGGTAACTGATGCCTGACTAAATTGCTCTGTCAAAACATCCGTCTTGTGACTTGGACTGTCAGAAGCGTCGCATTTACTATATATGGGGATATTTATTGCGTTACAACAAAGAGGATATAATAAATTAATACACATTCACGAATAATTTTTTTTTGTTCATACGGACTATATTATTTGGTGGAAGTATAATCATTGGAATAAGGACTAAGAGAGGTGGTCACTTCTACCAGTGTAAAACAATGTGCCCTGCGTAAGTTTTCAGTTTGCTGTTATATTAGTGGGTTTTGGCGACAATTTTCAACCATGTGCCCGATTTCACCCGGCGTGATTTTAATATTTTCTGAAAACTCGTTCAATGGAGATTTACCTCGTGTAAATAGTTTTTCATGCACACGACGCACATAGGTGTGCCATCGCGTTGAAACATGTCTACTTTCCTCCCACTGCTCGTCATAGACATAGACAAACATATCGTCCTCGCAGACCCGTTCGCAGCGTCACGAGAGCGCCTTGCAGAAGCAAGTGCACGACTGTTTGGGAGAGGGTCATCCGTGGCGTTGACTACCTGTCGATGGACATATTTCATCCAGTAGCACACAAGCGTCTCTAAGTACAATTTATAAAAACAAAAATCAAACCCGAACATACGTTGACATGAGAAGTACATACTTCATTGAGCTTTGACATATATATTTAATATCCCAGACATTTTTAAGGAAATTATGCTAAGTATAAGAAGAAGTAGTCAGTTTTTGGCGACAATTTTGACCTATGTGCCAATTTCACAGAAACATGATTTTAATATTTTCTGAAAGCTTATTCCATGGAGATTTACCCCATGTAAATACTTTTCCATGTACCGCGAGCATACATAGGTGTGCCATCGGCGTTGAAACATGCCTACTTTCCTCCCACTGCTCGTCATAGACAAACTGTCCTCACAGATCCGTTCGCAGCGTCACGAGACGCCTCTCAGAATCACGAGCAACAGTAGCCAGATTTATCGACAATTTTGACCTATGTGCCAATGTCACACAAATAAGATTTTAATATTTTCTGAAAGCTTATTCAATGGAGATTTACCCCATGTAAATACTTTTTCCATGTACTAACGCACATAGGTGTGCCATCGCGTTGAAACATGTCTACCATCCTCCCACTGCTCGTCATAGACAAACAAACTGTCCTCACAGATCCGTTCAGCGTCACGAGGCGCCTCTCAGAATCACGAGCAAAAGTAGTCAGTTTTATCGACAATTTGACCTATGTGCCAATTTCACAGAAATATGATTTTAATATTTTCTGAAAGCTTATTCAATGGAGATTTACCCCATGTAAATACTTTTCCATGTACACGAACGCACATAGGTGTGCCATCGCTGTTGAAACATGTCTACCATCCTCCCACTGCTCGTCACAGACAAACAAACCTTCCTCACAGATCCGTTACGCGATACGAGAGCGCCTCTCAGAATCCACGAGCAAAAGTAGTCAGTTTTTGGCGACAATTTTGATCTATGTGCCAATTTCACACAAATATGATTTTAATATTTTCTGAAAGCTTATTCAATGGAGATTTACCCCATGTAAATACTTTTCCATGTACACCTAACGCACATAGGTGTGCCATCGGCGTTGAAACATGCCTACTTTCCTCCCACTGCTCGTCATAGACAAACTGTCCTCACAGATCCGTACGCCGCGTCACGAGACGCCTCTCAGAATCACGAGCAAAAGTAGCCAGATTTATATCGACAATTTTGACCTATGTGCCAATGTCACACAAATAAGATTTTAATATTTTCTGAAAGCTTATTCAATGGAGATTTACCCCATGTAAATACTTTTCCATGTACACTAACGCACATAGGTGTGCCATCGGCGTTGAAACATGTCTACCATCCTCCCACTGCTCGTCATAGACAAACAAACTGTCCTCACAGATCCGTTACGGCGTCGAGAGGCGCCTCTCAGAATCACGAGCAAAAGTAGCCAGATTTATAACGACAATTTTGACCTATGTGCCAATGTCACACAAATAAGATTTTAATATTTTCTGAAAGCTTATTCAATGGAGATTTACCCCATGTAAATACTTTTCCATGTACATCTAACGCCATAGGTGTGCCATCGCGTTGAAACATGTCTACCATCCTCCCACTGCTCGTCATAGACAAACAAACTGTCCTCACAGATCCGTTACGGCGTGCGAGACTACTCTCAGAATCCGCGAGCAAAAGTAGTCAGTTTTATCGACAATTTGACCTATGTGCCAATTTCACAGAAATATGATTTTAATATTTTCTGAAAGCTTATTCAATGGAGATTTACCCCATGTAAATACTTTTCCATGTACCACTAACGCACATAGGTGTGCCATCGCGTTGAAACATGTCTACCATCCTCCCACTGCTTTCGTCATAGACAAACAAACTGTCCTCACAGATCCGTTTACTGCGTCGAGACGCCTCTCAGAATCACGAGCAAAAGTAGTCAGTTTTATACGACAATTTGACCTATGTGCCAATTTCACAGAAATATGATTTTAATATTTTCTGAAAGCTTATTCAATGGAGATTTACCCCATGTAAATACTTTTCCATGTACAACACGAACGCACATAGGTGTGCCATCGGCGTTGAAACATGCCTACTTTCCTCCCACTGCTCGTCATAGACAAACTGTCCTCACAGATCCGTTCTGCGTCTGAGACGCCTCTCAGAATCACGAGCAACAGTAGCCAGTTTTATACGACAATTTTGACCTATGTGCCAATTTCACACAAATATGATTTTAATATTTTCTGAAAGCTCCTTCAATGGAGATTTGCCTCGTAAGTACTTTTCAGGTACACCGAACGCACATGGGTGTGTCATCGTGTTGAAACATATACATCTGAACTGACAGCTCTTGGCGTACAAGAGAGCAAGCGTATGCAAATAGATCACGTGACACCGGCTGACCCGGTGCGCAATATGCTGGCTCAATCAAGTGATACAACAAGTGGTAAGTAAAAATTCAGTGGACTACATTATCTATTTCCTAATGTTTTATATCATTGTCATCATAAACACATTAAGTATAGAAATACATATAACACAGAAACTAAAAAGCGACATTTAACAGATGTAATGATATGTGCAATGCACCTACCAAAATAAAGAGAGAATATACGACATTGTAATTGCTATATTGATTACACCCTGCCAACAACACTCAAAAAGATTATTTTATGATGTCACCAAAATTATATTTTCTTCTCTCTGTGTTTGTACGGGATAGGTGTTTGCATAAGCCGATGGCTTGTTCACCGATCCTCATTTCTTGTATTCGAAATAAAATATGTTGAAACTAAAAGAGAGAAAAGCCGATGACAGTGTTCACAAGGGCGCTTTAGCATCTTCAAATACTCTTGAAGATTAGTCTTGAAGTACAAGAATAGCTCCTCCTACCAAAAATATAACACTATATATGCAAAACACAATAACAATATCCATAATGTTATAAGTCGTCTATCAGTTGTTTTACAGACAAAATTTTGAGTATGTAATCATATCAAACAATTTTACTCTCCTTTTTTCGCCATGAATATGTAATCTCTTCAATATTTGAGTGAGTTGCTGACTTAATCATGAGGGTACCGATCATGGCGATGTATCTGACGATGAAGAGATCGTCATCACGTGATCGGTTCAATTGGCAAAAGATGCCATTTCCATGAGCAGATTTTGCCCAGCTCCATGTCAACTGAAGATTTGTCACAACTGAATAAACATGTCTGTGTCCTTTCACAGTTTATCCAAACACAAACACGAAATGGAATAATTTGCAGTTAATTATGTGTTTTTAAGCGATAATAAAATATTACACCACGGACCATAAAAGCACCGTGATGCAGGAAATTGCACAATCGCCGTGTCCACCAGACTGTCAGCCGGGTAAGCTGTCTGCAAGCCCATTATATGTATATACCCGAAATAACGTGCTGTATTGCATCACACCTGTTGCAGGTCTCCAGCCTCCCACCTGTATATTCAGCGATATCCAACTGCAGTCATAAACTATGCCTGACCGCGTTCGCCTTGTCTTTATTCCGCTCAATCCTCGCGGGGAAAACAGTGTCGCGGTGTGATGGAACTAATTATGTAATCTAACTGAAATTTAATTGTGTTGCATTCTGTCAAAATATAATGCGAAGACAAATACAAGTAGCCGTACTGAAGAATTTTAAATATGCATTTTTCATAATTATACCAAATACATACAAAACATTCAGTGAAGGGTTTATACATTTTCGTTTTTATAACAAATAATGCAATGCTCCCTGGAATAAATATATTTCTTCATTCTGCAGATGACTCCAGGCTGTCCAACCCAACATGCAGGACTGTACCCGGGGTTGGTTGTTTTCCACTGTCCATGCTGGCGTCCAGGAACGAAAACCTTTTCTGTTTCACGCAAATACATAGAATATATGTAAATAAAAAAAGTATCAAATTTTACCTGAAGTTCATCTGATAACGTGTTTCGTTAGTTTTGTTGTAGAAAACGATTTATGCATGTGTATATATTTCGCGTCTGGCCGAAGTTACCTGTATAGGTACAGGATAAGAGAAACAACATATTCTTACCTTTTAATATACTGTAGGGCTGGGGAATGGGATAGTATCTTCCAGGATGATGCTTGTTAATAAAATCGCTGGACGTCATGATACACATTTCTTTCAAAGATGATGATGATGATAATTAAGTAGATTTGATTTAAACAGTATTATATTTCCACAAAGACATGTAATATACATTAAACATTAATAAATTACGAAAGGAAAAGGATCAGCAAATGCTTCTCCTAAAATTTGTAGATTTAACGTGAGCTTACTGACATAATGCGACACAAAGTGCCGATTTCTGAATGCATACATTAGGTACAACTTACTTATGTGCATCATCATTGTCAACTAATCATTTTCCTTGGGCATAGGGTGGTTATCAGGCCCTGGACCGTGTTTGCAGAAAAACATCCTCAATTTGCAATAAGCAAACCCGTGATCAGTGAGCCGTTTCAGCTGCTCTCCAGAACCCATAAACAATTAGCGTCTAATTAGTTTGTTATCTTCATAACTTCTCTGTGTCATTTTACAAACTGATGTATTAACAACAGAAAAGTGTTATAGGCGCATCCCATATCACATCGTGCAGATATTCACGGTTCTAAAAAATATCCATTTTTGAAACTTTGCTTTTTAAGGGGTTTTAGCAACGTTCTCATTTGGTTGAAACAGTTTGCATAATATTCCATAAATGCTTCTAAAAATGTTATGTTTATCTGTTTTGCGATATATCACAAACAAATAATAGCAATTAAAATACACCTGCCGTGTATATGCCGATATATGTGAACCGTCAATACGATCGATATCGGTTCCAATGACACGGGCCAGGTTTACAAGTCTGTTTTCTATAATCGCCTTGAAAATGAAATAATGCACGCTGATACCAGTGAAGATATTCACAAAGATATGTATCATAGCCTTAATTCACACGTTAAAAACGTTTTGGGATGTGTTTACAAAATCCATGTGCATGCCGATGAAACTGGGCTTCCGATAACACCTCACACATGAGGGCTTCAGGCTCCATTTGATTGGCTGGAAACAGTGTCGCGCAGGTTTGCAGGGTATTCTGTAAAACAGCATACACGGCTAATCGCGAGCACAAGTTGACATGTATTCTAAGAGATCCAATATCGACCATCGTCAACAGCATGAGCTGTCAGATCAAAAGTCAAAAGAAACGGGCGCTGCATTTTGATTTAACACTAACTTTGATTAGCACGCGAGATGTCAACTAAAACTGACAGTGACTTCATTTCGGATTCAGTTTCGAATACACCATTGAGTCTCTTACACGCTGTAACAAGCAAAGACAACTTTTACGTTAGTATTGAATTGATAGGTTACTTTTACGATTACAAATACGCGAAATTTTGTGAGGTGAACAGGTAAGATTTTCGTAGCTGTGTAATGCTGAAATCAAGACACTATGTACAGTTCGGTAGCCGGAGACATGCTTCATGGGACCCCTCCATTAACGCGACAGGTAATGTTATCGGTATTGGGATTATGAACGCTTATTGACATTTGGCATTTTATATATATTTTCGGTTGACTGATGTTTTATCTTCAATTCTGTCGCACATAGTCGCGAACTCGCTCAACACGATCACAATATACAAACCATTGTCAAACGCTTACTTAGGACAATCTAAACTAGTTTAAATATTAAAAACTATTTAGAATTGAGATCAGTAATATCATTTTAACCAAAACATCTGAGACTTCTATTCATTTGGATACACGATAACAATAATTCATTCCGCTTTTAAGAAGCGAGCCGTGGTGCTGTATATTTGCAGGTGAAGGTACACAATACGCCACTTCCGAAAATATGCAAATGACTTTATAGTTGTTTGCAGGATTACTCTTGACGAAGTAAGTTTTGATTCATGCAAGATGCAATGGCGGTAGAGGTCATAATAGTTTCAAAATGTTCCAGAACTCACTGCAAAGATGAATACTTTAACATTTCTAAAATTAGCCATGACATCCACTAAAATAAATCACTTTTCAAATGCGATTAATTATTTTTACGTAACTTGCATATGTAAACAACAGACCCTGGTGGTGTTTCTTTCGAGAAACCTGTTTATTCACTCGACTGTCAAGTAACCACCACGCTTTGGTGATTTTACGGGACGCTTTAATCACCCGCCAAGACCGTGTTGCACCCAATCCAGTTGGTTCCACGGTGATTGAATTAATTAGGGTCAAGCGCTTCAGTTAGTACCGCTGAGCTGCTACCGATCTAAATTACCGAGGACGATAGGTCGTCTCGGCGTACCGCGCTTACGATCTCTGACTGTTAATTCACACAGTTCATTTCTCTTGCAATTATGAGGGGACAGTATGTTCAGATTTCGTTAAGCAGACCAAGGACACTTGATGTATTTTGCAGTTGTTTGTTTCAAGATTTATGCAGATTATCATATGATTAAGGACAAAAGGGTAACTAAAGAAATAATTTGAATTCCAATGATGAAATTGACATTTGCACCTTGTCACAGCATTTGTAGTCTAATGTTAAAAGTTGCTGATTTAGATTATCCCTGGATGCAAATGCCAAAGTAATAAACCTCATGGACCCCAACACCCTCTATGCATCTAACACTGCATTTGTGTCTCTGCATTGTCATCAGTATCTGTAAATGTTTCAGATTGATTCGTGGTATGCTGATCCGCGAGCCATCACGGAGGCTGACACTTGATCAGATTCTACGCCATGAGTGGGTGACTGTGGGGGGAGAGTACAACCCAGTGTTCTACATGCCCCTCATCTCACACGAACACTTGACACCTGAAGACCACACCTACGTCGTACAACGCATGGTGGAGGGGAAGATTGCATCCAAGGATGAGATTGTCAGGTTCGTTAACACCTATGCAGAGCTCACCTGTGATGTTGATAAATAAGCCAGATATCCGAAAAATAGGGTCAGGGACAAGGTCAGGGTCAGGGTCTGGGTCACAGACAGTATGGTGGACAAGATTGTTAGCAGAGAACCCATATTGCTTAGAAAGGGGAGGATCATTTTACGAAGGGTTGGATGTCAGTGACTCTTCTTAAAGACCCAATGTTAATAACAAACTATGTGACTTGAACCCGTGTCTTTTATTGACATCAGTAGAAAATATATGAAGAGATTAACTGACTGACTGACTGAGTTTGGTTTTACGCCGCTTTTAGCAATATTCCAGCAATATCACGACGGGGGACACCAGAAATGGGCTTCACTCATTGTACCCATGTGGGGATTCGAACCCGGGTCTTCGGCGTGACGAGCCAACGCTTTAACCACTAGACTACCCCACCGCCCCAGAGATTAACTCTTTCAACACCAGTCAACCAGAGGCTTTTACTGCCATGACACCGAGTTCCCAGAGACTCTGAGGTCATAGATGGAGCATATGTTTATCAATGAAAATATCAGCTTGTATAACATTATTGCTACTACATCTCATACACCATTTGAAAGATCTAATCCTACTGTTGATAAATATGAAATTTATTTTTATCATTTTATTCAGATAATACAATTACTTTTTACAACTAATTGCAAGCTTACATTTATAATGTCCAGATAAACCACGAAAGAAGCCAAAACTATGGCGATTTTTTTCCATTTGTGACATGTCATAACATCCCCAATCATTTTCTATTATATTTTCATTGTTATGTAAACAGAAAATTATTATGAAAATATTTCTTAAATAATATGTATGGTCGCCTATTTCCCTATATCAGTGGCTCGGTAACATGACACAACAACGGAAAATACCTCCATTTTCGAAGCTTTGTATGAATAACATGCGAGGCGAATCGTTTGATGGCGGGTATCGTTTGAAAGCTCTGAACATCAACAATATCACTGTACCCTTGCTGAGAGTATTTTCACAGTTGTAAGAAGCGATTTTATTGGATAAAGATTGGTTTCTAATGACGCTTTTCGCCACAGTCTGTTATAAGGGTCGTGATTGGTCAAAATTAGAAACGTGACCTATGGCAGCCAATCATATTACAGCAGTGGATACCGTCCTCGTAAACAAAATCTTTTAGATTTAGACAACGTTTTGGGTAAAATAGTGCTATTCTGAACACATTAAGCAAGAAATCGCTACCAATACATAAATTATGGATCTTATTGGACGTATCGTGCTAGGTTATGACCTGTGACAAAAATGATGCTTCATGCATGCATTTTCACATTAAACATCATGTCCGAGCGTGAAGATTGAGGCAGCGAAAGCCAAGATGTCACTTGTCAGTGACTTGACTTGCATCACGATTGCACAGAAAGATGGAAATAGTAATTTATATGTACGTTTGACAACTTTCATGAATGCTGTTGTTGATTTTATTCATTAGTTTATTCAATTTATTTAATGATTTCCTCGAAACATCGTTACCTTGCTCTTTGACAATTTTATTGCGAACCCGCTGCCGAAGCATGTGTCCGAGAATCGTTGTGTTTAATAACATTGCGAAAAATAGTTTATAATTTTAATTCTGCCCATAATATATGATCAATTGAAATTTAATAAGTGTTTTCAGACATCGTGAAATGTGATAGATTTAATATATGAATCATAAGTCTGGTAGGTTCCTAAAATTATGTGTCATTTTGACGTGACTACTGCCTGGCCGTTTAATCGGCCTCCGGTGTCTGGGGACTCATAACGTTGTGGCTGATTATTCGGCCTGCGGTATTGAATGGGTTAACTGAGTTTGAAAAACATACACAGTAAGATGCTTAGAACGCCTAAAGACTAAAAACTAAAAATGATAGCTGTGAATTTTATGCTTAATTACTCTCAGGTGGAATACACAAGATACATGATTTGGATGCTGTATGACACCTGTAGAGCTGACAAATAACAAAGAGGTTTTCATTATGTGTTTCGCTTCAGTTTGAATTTTGAACTGACAACACTTAAAAGGTTTTGAGAGAGTTACTTTGTATTAGGCACCAAACGTTAGATGTACTTTTCAGTGCTATAGACAATAAGAAACATTTGGTCGCAGAATTGTTTGTTTGGGGAAGTGCCTAGTGTATCCAAGCTGTTATTATGATAATTCAATCTGGTGCCTGGTTAAAGCGTTTGCTCGACATCCCGAAGACCCAGGTTCAATTCCCCACATGGGTACAATGTGTGAAGCCCATTTCTGGTGACCCCTGCCGTGATATTGCTGGAATATTGCTAAAAAACAGTGTAAAACTCAAACACTCACTTATTGTAAGCTTATGCAGCCAAATTAATCCAGCATGATAATGTATTTCAACTCAGAATGTCACTTTTGTAATATTTACATGCATCTTCTCTGGCAGCTCTCTTGACAAAGATTCATATGATCACATCACTGCCACATACTACTTGCTGGCCGAGCGTAAGCTGAAGAAACACCAGCATGAGATGCAGCAGGCTGCAAGTCAACTGCGGAAACAGTCCGCCCCTGGACACTCCCAGAAACCACACCTCGAGCCACTGTCCCTCTCACCTCGGTTAGTATCCTACTGGTTACCGCACCATATTTCATTAAGGCAGCAAAGATTTGTTTAATATTCTTCGAGTATTGTTTCATTGAATTCTTTCTACTTTCTTCTAGTGCGAACATTATTTCAGAGTTTCAAAGGGATTTTGAACTATCTTTCGTACATGTCTTCAATTTTTTTTCTGAAATGTATTAATGAAGTGCTGAAATAACTGGTCTGTGGAGATCATATTGTTTATTTTTGTCTCAGACTAGTGGATAAATCCTTTTGGTGGGTAATATAAGCCTGTCCGTGTATATGGCAACTTGTTAAATAACATGCATTGTATAAGTTGTGATGTGGTGTTGCTTAACGAGAAGCAAGTTAAATATGGCTGAATCTTTTGAAACTTGGTTTATTAATGCTTGCTTAAAGAATAACCGCTGGGGGAATGGGTAAAGTTGAGTATCAAGGCTTTGCATTTGGCTGTTGTAAACTAAAACTTTTTGACAAAGATTATATGCAAAATATATGCTGAAAATATGAAGATGAAAATAACTACTGTAATTTATGATCTCTAATGGTATCAACTTAATATTGCATGTGTATTTTTGTAAGTTTTTCTCGAAAAAGTACCATTTTCTTCAGTACTTCTGTAATTTCTGTAGACTGACAATTTGATTCCTGGTTTTGTCCTGTGCATTCTTGTATGTGGTATTGTGTTTCTAGAAATCTTGTAATACCTGGCTTCAGTTTGGTCCTGACAGCATCAGAGTTGCCTTGTGGTGGTTCTGTGACTTCCATCTGGTGTTTACAGTTGTGTTTTTTTGATATTATACAGCAAGCAAAGAGAAGTGAAGAAGACTAAAACTGCCCCAATAGGTTGGGGCATGGATGCAGACTCCCTAGCTATAAGCCCTACTATCTCCCAGCCTATGTCCGCTGACAGCAGTCTTAATAGACCAGTGTTTGTGAAGACTTTGACCTCAAGCATGACACTTGACCGTAAAAGTAACCAAAAGAAACGCCTATCTAAATCGGGTGCAGTCTCTCCAGGTGTGGTCGGCTTACCGTCTCCACCTGAGATCAACCTTTTGTCCAAATCGGAACCAGATGCTGAGAATATGAAAAAGAGCATTTCAGTTTCTGCCAAATTTTCCAAAATTGCCATATTAAGTTCATTCTTTGAACGAAAAGCTGCTGCAGCTGCAGGGAAGGGCCCCACCCCAGACCACAAAACTGGGTTTTTCCTACCCGGAGGTGGAAAGAAAGCAGACAAGTAATTATTTTCATCTCTTAGCCTGCCTGTGTGGGCATGGTGTTTTGTTCTTTATGTTTCTTTTGTATAGTTAGGAGAGAGACTGCCTTTTCTGAACTGACTTGTTGCATTAGAGTGTGATGGCAACATTATCTCCCTTTGTTTTACCCCCGTTTAACGTGTGGCAAAGTGTTCTTAATAACTCATGCATGAGGTATGCAATGGAATCGTGGATTTTGTGGATAGTTTATCATCATGAGTTGCAGTTAATTTTTCAGTGAGTGGTTTTATGATGCCTTTGTGTTGCTCTCAGCTCATCTGGTTTGTTTTTTCATGATGAATTGTGTATTCCTGGAGTTGCCCATGCAATGAAGGGGAGACAACTCATCCTTACTCATTTAGGAGCCATCATGTACTGAAGTGTTTTGTTAGCCAGAAATGTAGTGATTAAGTTCCAGCATGAATTTGAAACACCCAGATTATCACTGTTTGTAGAAATATTCATGTGCAGGGATAGTATCCTCCTATATAGTGATATTGCTGTCAGAAATCAGCGGATACACCTGTACTTTCAATTGAAATTCATAATTTACTTTAACCATATTTGCTCAAAGCATTCACCTAACAAAAATACTTAAATCTGAGTAGCACGCACTAGTAGTCTGTGCCAAACAGTTTTCAAGCCTAATGGCTCCATTTTGGCTCTCGGTATCAGTATATTTATTTTTCTATTCTATTGATTATTGCTAGCTGAGCTTACAAGAGCTAATAAGATTTTACTAGACTAGGGTTTTGGGCCAGTATCAAAGGTTGCATCATGCTGTAGCCACTAGCTACTTACATTGAACTAATCTAATAAGTGTATCGAACATAGCCATGGTAGGACAGAATCAGGCCATGTTGTCATTGTCTAAAAATGTTCTGTTCATTAATACTGCTTATCATAGGTTTTCAGTTCTTTCAGCCAAGTGAACTGTCTGAAATTGGCTTCTGCTGAATAGATCTCTAAAAGCGGCATTAAACCCAACTCACTCACTCACTCACTCACTCACTCTAAAGAGTACACTGTAAGCCATGTGAAAATGTTAATGACATATTGAGAAACTGGTGTCGGTCAGGTTGCCAGATAACCATAGTAAATGTAAAGGTGATTGATGAGGGTTGTAGGTTGATGGCCCGTTGTAATCTTAGGATGGCTTCTGTAATTCTTGTTTCAGGAGCTCATTTAACCAGTTGAGCACAGGTACCAATCCTGTGACCATCTTTGAGTTTGTCACACTTATTGATACATGGGGGACAAGTGTCCATTGTTTGTTCCTACAGGATGAGTTTCCCTATCTTTTGTGCGTTGGAATTCTCATTGTTGTGAAGTGGTTTTCTTAGTTGTTTGTATTGAATGTCACTAACAGCGAGGAGACTGCACATCTCTCTGTTACCATAGTAACTGTTGATTCCTGCAGTAATGTGTGTTTTTCCCTTTCTACCCTGTGTGCGTTCTCAGCGTGAGGCAAAGACTCCTGAACAAGGCAGTGACGCCCAACTCTCCCCCATTCTTGACGCTGGAAGCATTGGCGTCGCGATTCCAGGGGTAATGGGTTACCTATGTCCATTCAGCTGTTGTAACCTTGTTTCCAGCATGTTGTGTTGTCATGGAAACCTTCACTTGTTCATTTCTGTGTAATCCACACTTTCCTCTTCCCTTCATCCATGCTGTGAGATTTTCTCTACACTCATTTAATACTTACATCAGATAGACCTGTGACAGCAACCATGTGGTTTAAAAAGAGTGTTTTTGTGATGGGGAGTTTGGGATGGGAAGGTGTGTTGTTGGGTTGGGCGTGTGTATTGAGAAGGTTGGGCTGGGCCTATGTGTGAGTGTGCATTGGGGAGGTTGGGTTGGGCCTATGTGTGAGTGTATATTGAGGAAGTTGGGCTGGGCTGGGCTGGGCCTATGTGTGAGTGTGTATTGAGGAGGTTGGGCTGGGCCTATGTGTGAGTGTATATATAGGAGGTTGGGTTGGGCCTATGTGTGAGTGTATATTGAGGAGGTTGGGCTGGGCCTGTGTGAGTGTATATTGAGGAAGTTGGGCTGGGCTGGGCTGGGCCTATGTGTGAGTGTGTATTGAGGAGGTTGGGCTGGGCCTATGTGTGAGTGTATATATAGGAGGTTGGGTTGGGCCTATGTGTGAGTGTATATTGAGGAGGTTGGGCTGGGCCTATGTGTGAGTGTATATTGAGGAAGTTGGGCTGGGCTGGGCTGGGCCTATGTGTGAGTGTGTATTGAGGAGGTTGGGCTGGGCCTATGTGTGAGTGTATATATAGGAGGTTGGGTTGGGCCTATGTGTGAGTGTATATTGAGGAGGTTGGGCTGGGCTGGGCCTATGTGTGAGTGTGTATTGAGGAGGTTGGGCTGGGCCTATGTGTGAGTGTATATTGAGAAGGTTGGGCTGGGCCTATGTGTGAGTGTATTGAGGACGTTGGGCTGGGCCTGTGTGAGTGTGTATTGAGGAGGTTAGGCTGGGCCTATGTGTGAGTGTGTATTGAGGAGGTTGGGCTGGGCCTATGTGTGAGTGTATATTGAGGAGGTTGGGTTGGGCCTATGTGTGAGTGTATATTGAGGAGGTTGGGCTGGGCCTATGTGTGAGTATGTATTGAGGAGGTTGGGCTGGGCCTATGTGTGAGTGTGTATTGAGAAGGTTTTGCTGGGCCTATGTGTGAGTGTATATTGAGAAGGTTGGGCTGGGCCTATGTGTGAGTGTGTATTGAGAAGGTTTTGCTGGGCCTATGTGTGAGTGTGTATTGAAGAGGTTGGGCTGGGTCTATGTGTGAGAGTGTATATTGAGAAGGTTGGGCTGTGTTAGGTGTGCAAGTAGGATACACATTTTGCTATGAGTGTGGGATGGTGGGATGGGTTTGTTGGCTTTTTCAACGGAGTGGATACAAATGTTGTAATGGTGTAGGGATATTTTAGTGGGAATGGCATGTGTGTGGTAGGTGTGTTGAATGTTTTGATAAATGTGGATGTGAGAGGGAGGGCTGAAGTAGAGGAATGGCTGTTGGTGGTGTCAAGCTTATGGATGGTAGTTGTGTTGGAAGATAGTGGAAAAAATATAATCTTAAATACAAATTCAAATAGTTTTGCTTAAATCATCAATATTTGTTTAAATGTAATGGTATGTGCCAAATACAGTTCATGACAGTCATATTTTATGTTGATCACAACACCATCAGCAGTCTCTGAAGGTGTACATTCCAGTTGTGATTCAATCTTAGGGAGCCAGCTTAGGACCTCATCAGAATAAAGGACTGTCAGATGTGACTGCGGCTGCAATGTTGTTGGCAGCTTGTTGTATTTAGGTTGTGCCAACACGATTAGACCATCAATGAAGACGTGACCAGTGAAGAAAGATGTCCAAGTGCTTTGTTATGTTAAATTTCCAAGGTTCATTAAAACAGGACACCTTGCCAAGTGGACTGACTTATGAGCTGAGTGTGGTTAGGTTCAACACTGCACGATAACTTTGATATCATGGAACAAATGTATACAAATATGTTCCATTTAGTTATCTCAAAGTTTGCCTCTTTGTTGTCATTTCCCTCCTTTAGTGTCGTATGTTGAATGATAGATTGACAGGCATTGTGTCAGCCTTGTTTCAGCATTTAGATGTGTGGATAGTGTACAACTAAGTGATTACTGCAGTGGAGCATCAGTTGAGCACATCATTCTCATCCAATGAGAAGACTTTCAGTGACAATTGCCTTGCGTGTGCAGTAGATGATATTTACACTATGTATTGTGTAACCTGCATGATATTAATATTTGTTGTTTTTTCTTTATACTTTGTTGTTTGTCACATGATAAGTTTCTTTGTCATGACATCATTTCAGGTTACACTGTTTATGTGATTTTAACATTGAGTTCTCCCACGATGCTTGCGTTCTACCAACCCAAAACTTGCATGTCTCTCAACAGTGCACGAAGGACTGCTTTCTTAAGTGAATTATAGCACTTTCGTTCCCTCTAAACACCAGCATGATACATAATCACTGTTCCCAAATATTTTTGTCAGCAAAAAACACAAAACATTAATTCCCAAATATTTGAGTTTGATTGTTTTCAGTATCAGAAATGGAACACAAAGGTTCAACTGTAGGAAACAATGGCACCGAATTTTGGTTTCCATGTTAAATTGTTTCATTCAAAATGTCCTTCAGTCTCTATCTACTTAGCATTTCTGTTCATTTCCAGTATATATATATGTTTTAGGATAATACCAATCATTGGTGTGAGGATAGTGAATCATGTCATAAGCACAGTCTACCATGATGTTTGAAGGGGGAGATTGGTATTTTGTGACAGTGATGTTCTGCATGTCTCTAAATTGTTGATTGTAAGGTTTCTGTTATGTTATTTTCAGAGTGCAAACAGAGCCATCTGATCCCAAGGATGCATTGAAGCCAACGTACGTGCAGTCACTGGTGTCTCCTCCCGGCACCCATCCCTCCCCGTCTGCATCCCCCAAGCATAATGCAGTCAGCCCTGAGAAGCACTACAGGATGAGGAAGTGTAGTCTGATCAAGGAGGAGTCCCAGGATTCACAGGAGGATGGCTCGGACATGGATGTGGAGGAGTCTGGGATGATGAAGCCCATTGTGTCCTGTGAAAGTTTGGAGAGTATGGTCTCAGTGTCACATTGCCAGCAGAGCTCATCATTGGAGTCCATTTCGAGGCAGTCCACATCCCAGTCGATGCCATCGCAGCAGACGACATCCAAGCAGGTGGTGCCGCAGGTGACTGTGACAAAGCAACCGTCTGTTCAGCAGACGTCTTCGACAGGAAAAGAACTTGGTTCGACCCGATGGCCGTTGAAGTCTGTGAACAGCTCTCCACAACTCCTTAATCAGATTTTTGAGGAAAATGAATCTGATGAAGAAGAGGACTTTGTCCCCCAGAAGTTACACTCACCCCGTACATTTGTCAGCAGCATGGCATCACCTGAAATCCTGCGTAAGTATGAGCAGCGGAAGAAACGCCGTGGAGCAGGTCAACGAGGTACAAGCTGTAGCAGTTCAGATGCCAGTGATACTGATGATACCGAGGGCAGGTCACGCAAGGATAAGTTGAAGCATAAGTTTGTCCATCGCCGTGACAGCAGTGACCATTCTAGTGATACCGATGGGCCAGGTGGACATGGGGGAAACATGGGAGGTGGGGCACGCTTCAGTGGAGGAGGGGGTTCATCCAGAGGATCTCATGGGGGTAACCGCAAAGATTCAGGGAAGAAAGACAACTCTGGCAACCAAGGCTCGAAAGGTCAGGGGAGCCAGGGTTCCAAGCAGAATCAAGCAAACACCAGCAATGGGGCAGAACTGAATCTGAAAGCACTGACCAAGAAGTTGAGTCAGCTAAGTGTGAACTCTCTGTCATCTATGTCTAGTGTAGGGAGTGTTGGCAATGGGAATTGTGCCACATCTGCCTCATCAACGGCTCAGTGGACGATAGGTAATACTCCAATACAATACATAGGGCGTACAGACTCGGAGCTATATGTCGAAGCCAAGTCCCTTCAGTTCAGTGAGCTCTCAGAGTACACCGACCATGACCTTGGAGACAGGTCGTCAGTATGTTCATCAGATTGTGTTCTGATGCAGCGTAAAGGTCACCGAGCACGCTCCAAGATCACAACTGACATCAACAGCAACGGTGTGCCGCCAAGCTACTGTAAGCCAGGAGGGGCTCAACAACTATCTGTGATGAAAGTCGAGTCAAAATGTTGTTCTGTAGTTTGAAGTTTCTTGTTATGTAGATAGTAAATGTTAAGGTTTTTGTGGCCAAGAGAATGTACATTTTGTATGTAATGTATAGTTAAAATGTTTGCAGAAATGCAGGACCTGACGTGTTCACAAAGAATACGACAACAGGCGAGTGAGGCTTCCACAAGCTTATCTTGTCATGAGTCATTGTAGCAGAATGTCAAAGGATGGTACATCTACTACCAAAGTTGATCATATGGGAGAAATTTTGATTGGTTTGCAACATGTTTAATTAGCATTTTGTGTCCTTATTCTGTTCCCTTACAACAACAATTCTGGCTTTGATATCGTAATCTTTCCAAAGTAATGTCTTTGCTGCATCTGTTGTACAAACTGCATCCTGTTTTCATGTACCATCTTATCATTTTGGGGATCCAAGCTAACCAACATTGGTGTTTTAAATTGATGAGAGCCAAATGTTTTATTGTATGTTTGTGTGTTAAAGTATCTGATCGGGAGTCGGCTAAGATTGTCGTACTTTGTCATCCCCCATGTCCAAAGCTCTTTCAAAGTGCTACTTTTATGTCCTGAAATGCAATATACTCATAATTATACACTGAACTTTTAACATGGGTTTAGGCCATAATAGACTGACTGGTTGTTTTAACAATATTTTATGACTAGACAATTTTACAGCATTTTATCTGACAGCAATTGGTATTTGACCTGAACATATGTAGTGTTTCTCACATACAGGGAAACATGTACAAGTCAAACTACAATTGTACATGGTGATAGAGACTGTCCACCCATCCTGGAAGTAAATGTGTAGCCTTAGTAAATTATTCAACAGTATGCTGTATCTGAGTGTAGCTTAGGCTGCATGCTAGACTGTGTCTGTAGTCTGAGGAAGAGGTTGTGTGGACAGGTTCTATCGCTGATGTATTGTGTCTTTCATGCATGTCTGGGTGTGTTGATGCAGTCAGTCAATGTGCAGGTGCCAATACCAATGTGATAGTCCCTGTAACTATAGTATTGTGTAGGGAGGGCTCTGAGGTTGTCAGAGAAACCTGTGCCATCAGTGCAGTCCTGTATCAAAAGCACTGTCTGGCATTGTAACAAGTCACCCTTATAAGTAACTATGATAACTGTGTATAGTAGCTCCAGTAATCCATTACTGTAAGACACCTTGCATTCAAGAATTATATCCTTCTTCATGCAAAGGTGGTTCGGTTGTATGATGCGCTGCAATCTTGTATCTCTAGGGCTCTCCAGAAACCCTGGTCAGGGGTCCGAATGCTGGTTTCCCCTGATTAGGTTACTAGGTTTGTATCCCTAAGGGCTCTCTAGTATGCTAGATCAAAGGTCTGAATGCTGGTTAACCCTGGTTAGGTTTCTACTGGCAAACAAGGATAAGTTGAGCACCGACCTGACAATTGACTTGTATGAGCATGTATGAGTGCCGCCCACTGGCCCTTGCCATTGGTAGCGAAGGGGCTCCGGGTTGTCCGCGATCAAGTGTAGTGCGATGGGTGAAGTGCGTGGCCTGTCTCAGCAAATGACAGCTACACACGGAATCAATTTCATTGTCATGCAATGCACGTACACTAGCCTACACCTGCTCTACCTTTTACAAACCAAATGGGTTTGCTCATTGCCGTGCACTGCCTACTTCTCGTAAACGTGTTCTCTGTGCCGGTCCAACTGATCCTTGTTTGCCAGTAGGTTTGTATCCCAAGGGTTCTCCAGAAATCTGGATCAAGGTTTGCACCATACATATCCTCGTTGGTTTAACCAAAGTCGTAAATGCCTGAGAGCTGCAGCACTTTAGGCTTTCTTTCAAAATTAAGCCGACATGCTAACAGAAACAGAATAATGTTTAAAGCAGTGCAAAACCAAACTGACTCACTCACTTGTATATGCAGGCGTGTAAGTGTGTTTTTATTCTCCATATTATCATTGTATGTAAACTATATTTGTTGAGTAGAAGCCAATTATCTAAATCGCTCTCAGCTTGATTACTGGACTTAGATAATTTAGATAGTTGGCTTCTACTCAACAAATATCGTCTACACGCAATGATAATATGGAGAATAAAAACACACTTACACGCCTGCATATACAAGTGAGTGAGTTTGGTTTGGCACTGCTTTAAACATTATTCTGTTTAAATTGTAGCATGTCGGCTTGATTTGGAATACATTAGTATCTGGAGAATCAATGTGTCCCTTGATGTGGATATGAGAGACCTGTGTGACTTGTTACAGCCTCAGTTGCCAGCTGTATCTGAGACTGTATTGAAGGGACACAGTGTTCCCTGCAGCAACCTAGCCTGACCCTGTTCGTGTCGCTGTGCATAATTAACTGAATCCTGCTGTCAGTTTACCATCTCACTGTTTGTCACACTATTGTCTGAGCTTCTTCTGATGTGTAAAACTAGTCCTGGATTCTTCCCAGATTGTACAGAATCCAGTTACTTCTCCTGCAGCAGGCACATAATGTAAGCTGAGACAGTGTAGTTGTAATAACTTGTAAGAATTATTGTAACAAGTGGACTATTGGTCCATTCTTCTTAGGAAAAGGATAAGCAATATACAAAAAAAACTGCATTAACTTAAACGATGATGAAACATCAGCAGCTCCCAATCAGCACCTTTGGCCAATATCAGCTTTTAGCTGCAACTATGGCTAAGTTGATATATTTGTGATGTACCAACGGCGATGACTTAACGAGGTCTCACTATTCTAAGACAAAGTTCTGTCTATTTAAGACTAGAACCATTGAAGTTTCTCAAATGGTATAATTTACTGGTCAACATACTATAGTATTATATATCATTCATCTATTTAAACGACCCTTTCCTCATTACTAAACCTACATGTTAGTAAAACTAAGACTAAAACTGACAGATAAACCATTAAAGAACCTTTGTCTAGTCATATATGACTTTCAAGGATATTATCAACCTGTTTCCATTCACTGCCATGATTGTGACCGACCTTGAAGAATGAAGATACATGCTTTTCTTCTGCTAATACCACTACCTAGATACTAACCACTTGTAGATCTTGTTACATATGTATATAGAGGAGAGGATATCTAATATATTGACTTGTTGAAGTAGTGCTGTATGTGGTGTATGTGGTGTGAAGTCTTCCCCAGTCTGTGTCTTGACACACAATGGGTGTGTCAGGCTCTTGTTTACCTTGTCACATTATCACATAGAACTTTGTCAGGAAACTACTAGTTGCAGTGTCTGTCAGTTTTGTGTGTCTGTGAATAGCTTCTTGAAAAACTGATACTTTGTGACATAACTTGTCTTGCAGTAAAAGTCTTTGTGTTGACTGTTACATGAATCAACCAGTTGTTGCTACCTACTCGAACAACTGTATTACTTGTCTAATCTGTGAAAAAAATACAACTCGTACCCTCTTTCTTAAATAGTTGAAACGAAGGTAACGTAATCGGATGATAGTGAAAGTGTCTACGTAGCCAATGTAGTATCTTTGAGGGGCGATGTAAATTGTAATCACAGCAGAAGTACATAATTACCTGTATGTATATTGTACTTTAGTGGAGGTGTTGTGCTCCAACAGAAGCATTTTATCAGCTCAGGGGGATATTATGGTATTGTAGAGAACAGCTGGATCTGTTTCATAGCATTCAACTTGACCATGCTGCAGGGTTTGTATTGATCTGCAGTTTGGTTTTCGTGCTTGTGAACAGGGTACAACTGGGTGCCATAGCACAAAGCCATCTCAGCAAGAAGTTGATCGTAAGTACCATACTTTAACATTGACCTACGATCATAGCGAGAAGTTGATCGTATATCCCATACTCTAACATTGACTTACGATCATAGCCCAAAGTTGATCGTAAGTCCAGTACCTTAACATTGACCTACGATCATAACGCGAAGTTGATCGTAAATCCCATGCCTTAACATTGACCTACAATCATAGCACTAAGGTTAGTTTGTACAACAGCACCCTAGGCGTATTTGGTCCAAGTATGTAGAAGGTGATTCATTCTTGATATCTGGATGGAAACATCGCATAAATGAACAGCTCTTGGACTTAAGACATTGCTAATTTAAGCTGAAGACTGAGGATGCACGTAGTGTAATGACTAATGACTATTTACACAATGATACAGGTTGTGCTAGTTTACATGTTGGTATTTATGTAGTCAGCCTCACTAAATCACAATCACTGTTTGTGAATCCCCAAGATCATCACTTTAATTGTAGTAGCTGTTGTAACCAGCACCACTCTGATGACTTCCTCATGTTCTGCTGAACACATGCATAAACAGCTTGGCTCATTTATCAAAATATAACATAAATCACCTCACACATAAAGTCGACAACAATTAAACGTCCAAATATGCTATAGTTTACTTTCGAAGTAGCTTATTAAGTGAGCTTTCGGGAACTTTGCGTGATCAATTTATGATTACACCTAATCTTCCACAGCTATGAATATTAAGCATGAAACACATAATTATAGTCATACTGCAGGTCTTCTCTCTGACTGACGGGTTGCAACAACTAAAGCAACATTATTTCCTGATATCAATTTGTCCTTCCATTACGAGTAAGTTGTCTACTTTGTTGCATTGGTGTTAGAGCTTATGCTTCCTATCTCTATGATGAAGTGATATTTGTGAAGTTGTGTAAATGTTCTGTGTAACCTCAATGCTGGCGTTGAGGCTTGTAGTTGCTGTAAACCTGTGTTTCACCATGGTTCTGTGTTGCCAAGGTTATGTTACTGTGGATTAGTGCATGTACATAGTTCACATAAACGACAAAAGGTGTCATTGTCTGTGAAGGGTTGTCTCCCTTGTCATGTGTTATAGTGGATACAGTGTAATCTTATTTATTTTGGTAGTTTGTGTAATCATTTTCATCACTTGTACGATTCATGTTATGTTCAAAAGTCTGTCACTGATACTGATGAAACATGTCATACGAGGGGCATTGCTGTATTAGCATTCTGGAGCTGTTGTTTACATATAACAGCTGTAACACTCTAATCAGGGTCACTGCCACCCCTCTACAGTGTTTTGTTGCATGTTGTGTGTACCTTACACAGCAATGTTACTGTAGCCATGTGTTATGTTAATCATTACACTTACTTATCCTTAATTCTATTTTGAATTCAACAAATGTGTGCATCATGAAAATGTTGCCTGTCTACAGACCAACAAGACAAGTCCTGAAAGCATTGTGTAGATATCCCTGAATCATATTCCACATGTGGGTTTCTTGGAGGTAAGCAAGGTTTTAAGGGATGTTTCACCTTGCATTTCTCATAACTAATCGTATGTCACCAAGTTTAGTTTTCCTATATTTTGTACCTTGTATGTCAAGTGGTCATCTGTCAAAGTTGTTGCTCTAACAACCAAATAAGCATATTGTGCTTAAAAATATACAATAGGTGCATACATGGTCATGGTCATGTTTAGTTTACAGTGGGCAACGAAAATGCATAAACATGATGACCATACAGCTAGAGAAAACTTTCATGAAAACTACACCAGACTTCCCCTAAAGATCTTTTGCAATGATTGTATTAAAAATTAGTGTCATCTGGACAAAAAAGACATTGGTGGAACATATTGACAAACAATGTTTGGCCTTGTTGAAGATCAATCTTTGCAGATAGTTATCCTGTGGAACTAAGCAACAGAATGAACTAATGCATAGCGATTAGTATGTGTTATGTGAAAATATATCTCAGACATATTACGGGGTTTCAGTTTGGGAAGCTGCTGAAAGGCTGATAAATGTTCATAAGCTTCAGGGACTTCTGCTCAGGACAAAAGGACCAATGAGGAGGGCTTAAAGTGTTTTTATCTCTTGGATAAATGTTATATAGATGTGTAAGCAGTTGTGCTGGATTCTGTCTAAAAACTGCCATCAGCTGGTCTTGTATCTCGATCATAATAAGAAACAACACTGTTTCAATATATGATAATGGGTAATTGTCCTGAACCTTTATGTATAATGTTACATTGTTGTACAAAGCTCCTGTGTGTTGCTGTTATGGGTAAAGTCCCGCATGTTATGTACATTGACCTGTGTATATAGACCTGTACGTTTTCTGCAGCCCAGCACTGGCTATGCTCATGCATGAGCTATTGAAGAGTTATGTAAGGCAGCATGTGGACCGCAAAGGAGGGAGGGAGGTTGGGTAGAGGAGCTATATATATGTGCCAAACAATGGGATTGGGACTGTTTCCTGCAAGCTTGGAGAATGGGAGGACTTTGCAGTAGGTTCTCACCTGCTTGCAATTCTGGTTTATCACAGGTTGTAGTTAGTTCTGAACTTCCACAAGCCCGTGTTCAAATGGATGTAGTTGTGACATGTTGTATTTGGGAGTACACTTTCTCAGTAAAGTACAGATTCTTGTACTTTTGTTGGGTTGAATCCCATCTGGGATTCGACCCACACCCTCAGTCAGGCACCTGATCCCCAGCACACAAAGTCAGGCACTTAACCCGCTCAACCAGTAAGTTAGTTCTGACTGACTGTTTGGATGGGTGTTGTTTGTTCTGAGTTTCTCAGAAGCATGAGCTCATTTGATGAATTTGGTTACACCTGAATCTTCCATCCATGCTATAGGGGTTTGTGGTGGTTAAGCAATTCTCATCATGATATCAGTATTGTGGGTTGTCCAGTTGATTCAGGCTTTCGAGATTAACGTGGATTAGCGTGCATTTAGTCCCAACCACAGACACTTACAATGGTGGATGTACTTGGTTCAGGACTTCAATAAAACGGGAGGGTATGGGTCAAATCAGCCCTCACACAAGCTTGCAGGTTGATTTGGTCAAGATGGTCAACATCTTCAATGCATAATTGTACAGCTAATACTGAGTCATGGGTTGAGCAATGGCTATGAAGGGGTCAAGTATGTTAGACTGTCCATCGTCTGTGATAGGGAATAGCTCCAGAACAGGTGTTGAGGCATTCAGAAAGAAAGTCTGTGACAAGATTACTCCTTAGGAACTGTTCCTCAACTGAAGGTTGAAGCAGGAATCCTAATAAATCTTGAACATCAAAGTGTACAGAGTGACAAGTTCCTGCATCTTGAGGGCAAAGGTAGTCACTAATCAGCATCTATGGATATCTTTGACAAGACTGAATTCATCAGACATGTCCACAAGGCCTGGTGTCATTTTAACCATGTAATGTATGCTACACTGAGTGTTTATCATTCTTTGTAATAAACCTTTTATTCCTAACAGTGTTACCAGATTATCGTCTGTGATGTTTCTACACAAACTGTGGTTAGGTTCTTACAGTTAGGTGTCTATTTGAGAAAACATTTTAACCCTTACAGTGTTAGAGAACATTGCTTGTGTCTAACCTGTCATTTTATCCCTAGCTGTGGTACAGTTATCCTACTCAAGCCCACTCATTTAACTAACGGAACATTTTATCATTAGCAGCCCTCTACTGTGTACAGGCAATTGTGAATAAAAGCTGTGTCAGAACCTTTCACCTGACTTTTTATTTATTTAAAACAAAAAGACACAACATGCTTTGGTGATCCTTTTCCCATGAACTCTGAAAGAATTTGATCCTCCGCTGATTAGCAATGTTGATCATCTGGCGGTGTATATCTGAACTCTTCCCAATGACATCAGTGATCTGTTTGATTGGTAGATATGGGAAACACCCACTTGGAGTCTAGTTCAGAATAAAGTAGAGTACATAATGTTTGCCCTTGCACTATGTTTGGGTTGAAAGATGATTGATCATACCCGGACACGAGCCCTTGCTCATGCTTTCAATCACGGGTTTCCGGACTTCCTTTGAGGTGGACGTGCAGCAGATAGAATATTGAGGACGGCAACAAAATGGTAATTAAATATTTTTGTTTATGCAGCAAGTACAGTACGTACACACAATTTAACAGTTAACTGTTTTAATTAACACATATCCCCAGCAACACCATCGTCTGAACGTGTTGACGTCACAGGGTTGGTTTGTTTAACACCGCACTCCGCAATATTCCAGCTATGTGGCGGCGTCTGTAAACAATCGAGTCTGGACCATACAATCCAGTGATCAACACCATGAGCATCACTGCGCAATTGGGAACCGATGACATGTCAACCAGGTCAGCGGGCCTGACCACCCGATCCCGTTAGTCGCCGCTTTCGACAAGCATGGGCTGCTTCACGGGTGTCTTTATGAATCACATCAGTCCCTAACACCATTGTTTCTAGTAACGAGCTCTCCTCAATGAATCTTAACTTCTGTAAGTATTCGTCCTTGGTGAAAAGGTGACTAGAGGGAAGGATATTGGTGTGCCAGTTTTGAAGATGGCTCTTGATTTATCTCACTTATATGATGAAAGCTGACAAATGCATCACTTGCTTGATAACGATGTTAGCTACATAACCGAAACGTCGCTCATATTATTAGTAATAAAGAAGTTGTATATCCATAGCACTGTCCCCTGTGTTCATCGCACAACTTCTAAACGCCACTCAATGAAGCTGACAAATGCTAACAACCAAAACGTATCACAACACAAGCAGCACCTGAAAGTAGTTTGGGAAATCACATGGTCGCTTACCCAGTATTCAGACGACAGAGGCCATAGGGAAATTTCTTAAACCTCCAGGGACCCGAGTGTCGTTCAGTAACATCTGACCCGTCACATCCAATCGATGGTCATTTTATCACTGTACTCTGAGGTCCGAATTCCACGTATTTCGAGTGTCATAAACAACTGACTGCCAAGAAGGCAGCGATTTATCGTTAAAGGTTGTGACGCTATGAAAAGGTAGATTCAAGACTGTCCCGGAGATTATTATCCCAGGAATTCATGGCAGTTACGAATGAAGTCAGAAAACCTGCACATGTATAACTTGATCGATTGTTGTTAACTCAACAAAATTCGAGATACACGACGGCGATCTGTGAAGACTCGAGTGAGCAGGAAACAATCCAGTAACAACTGGAATACAATGACATGGTTCAACCAGACCAGAGGCGGTGGTGAGATAGCCAAGTGGTTAAAGCGTTCGCTCCTCACGCCAAAGACCCAGGTTCAATTGCCCAGTTGGGTACAATTTGTGAAGCCCATTTCTGGTGTTCCCCGCCGTGATATTACTGGAATATTGCTAAAACTCACTCACCCACTCAACCAGGCGAGCATGGGTGAAAATCAGTTCTCAACTGTATCACCAAACGATGTAGAAAGAGAATCTGTAAGGTTGCCCGTTGATGATGATATTGTATGGCATGCAAAGACTTATGTAATGATATTCTTTCTGAAATATAGACCATATATTTTCATAAGTACATGGTTAAACACATGCTGTGAAATAACTGCCCTTTGTATTTTCAAAACATCAAATTATGTATTTCTCTATCCTTATAAGGGGAAAGCCGCCGCCAGTATCAGAAACCGCTGTCAGAAGACCCATAATAATAATAGTAATAGTCCGCGCATATGGCGCTCATATCCAGGCACATTGCCTGCTTACGGCGCTACGTACATTACTAACCCCGGTCATAGGACACTATCGTACTTCCCGATACCTTCTCAACTACCCCTGGGGATAATACAGCCATGCTGCCTGTTAGGCGCAATGAACTAAACACACACATTGTCAGCACATCCTCACGGGTGGGTGAACTGAGACAATGTGGATGTAAGTATCTTGTCCAAGGATACTACTCAAATGGGGACCCGAACCTAGTTGCCTCCGCCAGGGATCGAACCCGGGCCTTCAGCGTGATAGGCAGACGCCTTACCGCTGGATTATTGCGCTCCACACAGGTGTTTAGAAAGTTTTATATCTTGACATGTGACAAAACCAACATTTCGCTATACGGAAGTTAAATTTGTCCACTATATGTGCAACCACAATGATTAAACAGGCTAAGTATTGCTTGTGATATGTAGGCCAACCTCTTGTTTGACACAAAGAGGTGAAGTGAGGTGAAATTGGGTTTTACGTCGTACTTGAGAATATTTCGCTCATATGACGACGTGCATGCGTGTGTATGTGTATGTGCGGCTGCTTGTACTAGTCCAGACTTAAGCTGGTTTTATAGTGCTAGCCCACTGAGATACCATACCGCAGTGAAGCATGAATACCGCACTCAGACACAATATACTGACTCCGAGCCGACCAGTCCTTGTTGTACCCATTAATGCCGAGCGCCAGGCAGGGACCAACAAGTACCATATTTTAACGTCTTTTGGTATGACGTAGTCGGGGATCGAACCCACGACCTTCCGCTCTCCGGGCTGACGCTCTAACCACTACACCACGGAGGCGGTCTTGACACAAAGAGGTAAAGCATGGGTTAAATTTGTGCTTGTAGGCGACATCACGACTCCGACACATACAATTCCGGATAGAAATCATAACATTATTTTTATTATTTCCACATAAAGGAATCAATCTCGAACCATCTTACTAGCAAACTAACACTCGTACATGTTGGCTTCATACATGTAATGGTGCTGTAAGATTTGAATTTTTATACTAAGTATATGCCGACTACAATGATGTTCTATTTACCATGAACAACAGTGAATATTTATACAGCATATTTGAAATAGTTCATGGACGATAAGGCGGACAGAGCTGTCCAGTGCTACTTAATGATCGACGTAAATATTACCCTAGTGAAAGTAGTCCTAGCCCGAAATGACAGCTGTCTCAAACAGGCTGATGACCCCGGTTGATAAAACATTCAAACTGCGATGAAAACTGAATTTAAGACGCAGGAAAATCAGGACACTTATTGACGGTGAAGGTTTATCTTTTGTTATCGACTATAAATCTTCGCAGCACGAAGAACCAGTGATAAGAAAATCTCATTGGATCTACTGACGTGAAATTTATACTAAATATGATGATGTACCTGAATACCCACCTGTAGGCATCGGGCCTCAAACTTGCTGTTCACCCGGCAATAAACTACTTCCGCACTTCAGTTACCTGCAATAACGTTCAACTAAATCATGGGTAGATTATGCGTAGCTGATCAGTAAACACGCACCTTGGAATTACGAGACACCTAGAACACGCTTTGGATAAATGATATTATTATAACATTATAGAATATCTCTCGTATATATACCACAAAGAGGACACGTGGTCTAATGTCCGGCGAAGGACATTATGAGTGACCAGAAGTAGACCACTTATTCTGATACACGCGGTAGGCGTCGAGAATTGCCTTCAGCGATGAGACCTGCCGTTCAAGTGTGATTTTATGTAAATGCAGTTGTCGACTTGAGTTGTTTGATCATAACAACGCTGATGTAGAGGGGTCGTACTTTGTCAACACGGCTAATAGGCGACAGGTAACCCAAACATCAAAGATTCCCGTTGTGATCTGACTTTAGGACTGGGACGCTTCAGATCCGTTTGGTCGTCTGCGAAACAAGATGTCCGACCTGCAAGCCACATTCCACTGGGCAGACTATGTGATATTTGTTCTGACTCTTCTCCTGTCTGCGGCTATTGGTGTGTTTTACGCATGGAAAGACAGAAAAAAGGCGGACACGACAGAATCTCTCCTGGGAGGAAGAAGTATGTCCATCCTCCCTGTGACGCTGTCTCTCATGGCGACGTTGTTGTCAGCGACTATGGTGCTAGGCATCCCCACTGACATCTACTACAACGGTACCATGTACTGGCTAATCTGCTTCTCCAGTTTCTTGGCTTTCCCCGTTATAGCGCACGCCATACTCCCTGTATTCCGAGGGATCGAGGTCTTCAGTGCTTATGAGGTACGTAGTGAGTTATAAACCAATAATACACTTTTATATTGCTCTGGCTAGTACTCGCATCCACTTAAGGGCTGCTATGTACAACATGTCAAGAAGCGTTCATTCAGTGCACGTACCACACCTACCCTTCATGTCATGTCGTTCTTAGTTTGCAAACACTGTTTTAAACAGGCACTCTATTACGCATGAATAATATTCATAAGGCATGGAGGACGACCGGTTTCGTTCATGTTACCATAGCTAACATATGTAATGCCATGACAGGCCACCTGTAGTAGTATGAAATTATTCCTTAACTTCTTTTGAGCAGTTTTCATAGCCCAGGTATTTTTCTTAGAAAAGGATTTTATAGGTGAGGGTAGCAGCCCATGTATAGGCTCACAGGAAATGTAAGTTTACATTATTATGAAAAACGTTTACTTTCACCATTAATTTTGCTATGGAAACAATTGTTTTAGTTTTCATTCGCATTTTCGTGTTCTTTTGACATGATGTTCATACTTTTGGCTAAAATGAACGCATAGGGCAAAAGGGTATTTATTCGAACTTCAAGTGAAAATTTTATTATTTTTTTACTGTCAAGGTGACAGTTGCGCTACACATGTTGCTGCACACTATTACAGATTTGTAGGACAGGAATTACCATGGCAGTACACAATAGAGGGGCAGCAGAAAATTACAATGACAGTATAAATACAATAATGAAGTACAATAATTAATAGTGACAACAGCAATGAAGTCACCGATAATGATGTTCACCAAGCAGCTACCGTTTTCAAGATTCTAAAAATAAGCATAGGCTGGATATCTATGGCGAGAACACGATCATACAACAGCTTGATTTGATGGTGAGTCGAGTCATGAGCTTGCCCAGTTATATTGTCTAAATAACTTCAGTAATGTTCCATATGCTAGATTAGTCTATCGCTGTTCTTGAAGATGTCAAACTTTATTTGAATTCAAGGCATGTAGTAACTTGGACCACAGGCAAACTGTAGCGCAAATAGGGTTGCGCAACAAAGAGAAAATTACCAGCTTCGCGCGCAATTTAGGAAGACTGGTAATTTTCTCTTTGTTGCGCAACCCTATTTGCGTCACAGTTTGCATGTGCTTGGACGCCACTAGTTACATTAGATGATATTACATTCCTGACAACTATATGTGTAGCTCTGAAAACATGGTCGATGCGGATTCGAACCCACAATCATATGTTTCTGGTGTGCCCCAGATACATTACCGGGCCTTCGACGTGACGGGCGAACACTTTAACCACTGGGCTACCCCACCACCCCCGAGGCTATGACAATCGCCCAATCAAATAGAACGATCCTGGAACAGCCGTCCAATCAAATTACACTGCCCCTCTATGATAGAAACAAATAGCTGTATCTCCTATACTCTACTCACCTCCCTGCTACCTTCCTAAATACCACGCAATAGCATGATGGCCTTCCCCAAGTATCTTAATACGCAGTAAAACAAAACATTTTCTTGCATGACAAGGATTTCTTAAATTACTTTTCATTAAATCCACCCGGAAACAGTCTTAGTAAACTTAGGCTCAGTATTATTCGTTACACTGCTATACTGAGGGTGTCAATATTCGTTATGTATAAATCCTTTATTCTGCCATTATTTGATTATTGTAGTTGTATTTGGGATAAATACAGTTAGCCAGGCATCAATGCTGGAATAGTTAGTTTGATACACTTAGAACAATATGTGGGGCTACAAGGGGAACAAGTCATAATAAATTATATTCAGAAACGGATCTCTTACCTCTTGTAGAAAGAAGGCGCATTAAGAAATTAACTGTCACTTAATTGCTAAATCCGTTTTATCCAGTTCTTGCTTGAAGAACTCAGACTTATACAATCACCGAGTGAATTCAAGTATAAGATTACATCATATTGTAATACTTCATTTGGGTTTGATATCAACATTGGAAACAGGTTCTGTCAAATAATCCACTGCAAACTCCGATTAGAATGCAGCGATTTAAATGGCCATAAAGTAAGCAGATTTATATCCGATAACCCATCATGTACTTGTTGTGCTGCCTTCGAGGACACCCTTCATTATATTTTTATGTGTCCGAACTATGATGCTATAAGAAACGATTTATTTTATTTCAAACATGGATATAACATAAATGACGCTCTGTACGGTAACCAAGAATTACCTAGATCTTTAAATCATGACATTATCAAATCAGTACATAACTTTATTATCACTTCAAGAAGATCTAATCAATCTAAGTTTTCATCTGACCCTTTGAAGAATAAATATGTTTAAACCGAATTATCATATTACAAACAAACGCACACACACTTGCATACTAAATCGTGTCGCATTGTAGATATAGACTATAGCCCTTAAACAAAGGATCACGTTCCAGTGGCTAATGCTAATACTCGCATCCCTCACCTAGCTGGTGGTTAGGTTCCGTAATGGGTCATTCTCACTTACCCAGCACCTTTTGTTTTAGGGTCCCAGTTCACTGGAGCTAGATAATCCCCTACAATAAAAGGTGCGCTTTATATTTTGTTCCCTGTGGTATTTGGTCACCTGTGATATTTAGTCACTGTGTTGTATGATATAACCTCCGTACCTTTGGATTGGTGTAAAAACAAACGGGTCGGTTTGCTGGGCTATATTTTAAAGGTCGACTGATTCTAGACAATGGGCAGTCAAGAACTTGGCATTATCGTCGAGGTCGTTGTTTGTGCGGGTATCGTCAGTGTTGCAACAATAAATATGAATAAATAATCGTTATTTTTTGGTACAGTCGAAAAGATTTACCTTGACTTCGTCGTGTACAGGTATGTGGTTGTGGTCTCCAGGTATGTTGGAAATTATGTCGTTGAGACATATGAGACTGATGGTCTGCAGTCTTTCTGAATGCATATCCACGAGATCCTTCCTCCCCTTTACCCCTTGTTCACGATGAACATATAGCCAGTTACATATACATATCTTCCACCACGAGAAGTAGGAAGACACTTTTTGTGCTTTTGCCATACCTGAAGTTGAGGAAATGATGATGAAAACTGTCAGTTCCAACATTCTTATAGCTTGCAAGTTTATGTAAGAAATTGAAAAACTCACTACTAATGAATTGTGTGAACTCAGTCACTAAACCCGCGGGTACACATGTCAACCCGCTGGTACACATGTCAACCCGCTGGTACACATGTCAACCCGCTGGTACACATATTCAAATTTCGTTGCCTGAGTGAACGCATTTTACATTTTGTAGAAAACCAGTGTCTTAATCCCTTGAACAAACGCCGTTGTCACAACATCAAACATCAAAGGATTTTTACCTTAACCCAAAGGTCGAACTTACGGGACTACCCCACCTAGCCATAGTGCGATGTTGCCTTAACAAGACCTTTTTGGTTAGACTCTGGCTAAGTGAGAATGAACCATACTGAGTCTAACAAACCCTAGTAGAAGGTCGCGTCAGGTAACCTTTTGAACTGACCAATCAGAACACAGCTTACCAAATCGCGAAAGTTAACATTCGCACATACCGTTTGAACTTTTGCCTTGAAAACTCGAACGATTCTGTATGCTATTTTCCGCACGATCGCTTCCGAGTGTTACACATGGATGACACATTATTCACAACAGCGAGTAAACAGTTGCTGAACAAAGCGTTTTTGTCAATATTCCAGGATGTCATCTTGTGGAAATATAAGCTAATAGTAACCATGTCATCAGAAACCCCTAAGCGTATATACTGCAGGTCAAATGTCTGTGTTTTATGTGGATTTTCGTTTATTGAGCGATCAGTGTCAGCGACCAGGGAAGAGAAAATCCAAAAGGCGTTTTGTAAGTCCCGCCGAACCCTAAAATAGCAGCCGATGTCTGATTGGTTAAATCCGTTCGGCAGTTTCGCGTTTGATTGGACGGTCATAGGTCGCTCAAAGGTTAGCTGACGCGACCTTCTACTAAGGTTTGTTAGACTTAGTATAGCATTGTAACGAATAATATAGTCTGTCTCACAGTCCCTGAACCACATTAATTTCCCTACTGCCAAGCCCTATCTGCAGTGCTAAAGCCTAGATTTCCTCAGGTTCTGAATCTCTGGTCTCCCTAGGTCTCCTTTTCAATATAAATGGGCTTGTTTGTTACTATCAAAATTATATATATTCAGAGACTAAGCCTTAGTCTACGAATAATACTGAGCCTAAGTTTACTTGATCCGCAAACGGCCCTAATTTTGAAATGCAATCTATGCTCGTTCAGAAGGATAATGCTTGCTGACTGCTCATATCAAACTCATGGACAAGAGACGTTCTGGTGGTGAAAGAAATGTATTTCCTGGAAGGCGCTTTGATAGTGAAAGGGTCAAGGGCACATGCACCAGACATATACTGTATAATGTATAGTGAAATAAACTGCCATTGATTTTTCAGAATCATACATGATAATTACATGAAGATGATAATTACATGTAGATGATAATTACATGTAGAGTCACTGTAATGATGACCCGTGATGACCCTGAACGTGTGCTTGCATCCCTATCACCGCATCCATAAATTCCCACAGTAAGACATTCGTCGTACATTCACAGTATACGTAGGACTAAGACAATTCAAACACAGAGTACATTGTTCAAGCGTTGTAACCGAAATAAGCTCTTTCCTGATGGTAAAACCCGGCTTGTAAACTGACTGACTGACTGACTGAGTTTAGGTCTGTATTCCAGAAACTGACGGCGGGGTCTACCATTGGAAAAGTTTACATCCAGAACTGCAGAACATAATGTGCCCCACCGGCGTTACATCCAGAACTGGTTAAGGCCAGGATTGGGGCAAAACTGTGCACTTTGGGTTAAAAGCACCCAACTTGTCCAAAGTAACCTTAGCGCTGCGACTCTGGCAGGTTTATGGTAAGTTTTGAGAGTAGTTATGATCTCCTTAGCGCGAAGTTCGCTTAGTACGAGGGCATCCTGTTTGTTTGGTGTTCATCGTAACCACACTGTCACA